CTCTCAATACTGCAAACTTAGAAATTACTGAATCTCAACTTTACATATTACAAAACTTAATAACTCAACATCCTTCATGCTTGCACTTAAACGGCTTTTCACCTGAAGTTAAAAAAAAAAATAAATAAAAATAAATTAATAAATTTATTTATTTACTACAAGTATTTCAATGATATATCTTTTTAAAACATAAAATTACATAGTACATAGATAAGTTAAATACCGGTATGAACTCGACGATGTATAGTTAATGCACCAGAAATAGAAAACTCACGACCACAATTGGGTTGTGGACATTTAAAAGGACGCTCACCCGTGTGTGTTCTCATATGTTGTGTCATTATATTAGCTTCTGAGAACCGCTTTTTACAGATCGTACATTGGTATGGCTTATCACCTATAGATTAAGAAACAATCATAAGATTCCCATAAAATTCTAAAGCCTCGATTGTACTATAAAATAAGTGCATTACCAGTGTGTGTTTGAATATGTCGCATAACCTTTTGGCGTTGTGCGAATGGACGTCCATTTCGATCACATCTTTCCCAATAACAGATATATTGACTTCTACCACATCCAATATGCCCTTCACTAACATGCCCGGTTAATTCTTCATAGGTTTCAAATGGTAAATAACATCCTTGCCATTTACACCAATGTTGAAGTTCCCGCGCAGCCAAATGATCATGACATAGGTGTTGGATTAATTTATCGTCATTTTCCTGTTCTTTTGAACAAGATGCCCAACGACATAAAATTCCATCGGAATGTCCAGCTATATGTAGCTTTGAAAGATGTGGTATTAGCTCATCCATGGACCTAAATACGGCTGCACATGTTTCCCAAAGACATCTTGCTCCATCTAAAATCATATCTTGTTTTCGTTTAGTGCCAGATACGGTTGTCATCATGAAATGCGTGGGCGTTGTAGATGTAGTTATAGCATCACTTTCAGAATTCGCTTGATTCAATAGTCTTGCTATTGAATTCTTATCGTTATGATTTAAAATATTATTCATGGTATCTTCATTTGTTTCATAGCTTTTTGTTGTGTCATTTTTGCGAAAGTATTAATATCCATGTTACACGGATATTCATCTACCAATTAGCCAAATACTTTAGTTTCTAGTAGTGCTTAGATCTGGATAGAAAAATCTTACTTTAAATATATTAATATTACTTATTTTATTAAATCATATATTTTCATATATTTAAGATTTAAATATTTAAACATTTTAAGAAATCTACATATTAAAATAATTTTACTAAATTTTAAAAAATTTGTAATTAATCTTAACGTTAATTGCTGGAGAAATTTAAAATCATACGTAGTCCGTTTGTTTATTGTTATACCTAACGTTCAAATAAAGTATACTGTATTACTGTATTATTAAATTATTAACGAATAACCTGGTATCCGAATAAATCCAGATAACTTATCCGTTACAATTTTACTTTTTTTTTTTTTTTTTTGACAACGAGGTCTATCCTTTAACTCTTTATTAATATCAATAAAAGAATATATAACATTACAAGTACATATACAGTTAATTGAA